TGGTGGTCGGGGGTGGTTGAAGAAAGGTGGAGGAGTTGCAGATTTCAGGAGCGTAGGAGTGGTTGTTGCGGTCGTTGGAGGAGTGAGGCGCCCGTAGGCTGGCGCTGATGCGGAGTGGTTCGGCGGGGAGTGCTGGTGCTGCTCGGGGGGCGCCGGAGCCGATGGACTGGTGGGGGGAGGGCTTTGAAGTAGCGCGAGCCTGAGGAGACAGAGGTACGGGGTGAGGGGGCAGGAGGCCGGTGGGAGGCGCTGATGCGTTGGGAAGCCATGCTTGCTGTGGGTTAGAGCTGTTGGTTGGGATTTGGGTGTGGGTTGTGCTGAGGGTAGGGGAGTAGGCACTTTCGGCATTGTCAAAGGTGCCATGGATGGGGTTTATATCGCTTGGATGGCGGGTTGTCACAATGGACTTGTCCGCTGCTTGCTGAACAGCACCTGCGGGAGACGCATGGCGCTGGACGCCGCACCGCATTGATTGACCAACAGTTATGCCAAAGCTGAACAAAGAAGTACCAAACCAGCTTCGGTTTGGTATACCGCCACGAATTGTGCCAGTGTTTGACAGGACGCAGAGATCAAGTGTGCAACAACCGATGTGTGCTCTATTCAGCGGAAGTGCGCCGTTAAGACCCCGCTAGACTCGTCTCTGTCTCCCCCATTTCACCCGGCGTGATTTCCTTATTCAAGAACGGTGGGCGGGCCATGAAATAAATTTGCGGCACCGGCTCGAGACTGCGGTTGAGGCGAAGGGTCTGGGACCTGCACGAATGTGATAGTCTGGCCAAGGACAAAGAGATTGTGTATGCGCATTGAGATTGCATCGGCCAAACGCCGCCCATGAGGTGCTTGATAATCCCGACATCCGAGCATCCAGTCCACCCAATCTGTATCGTACATGTTTTTCCCAGGTCTCGTACATGTATCCGTCCGCACCGTCGTGTTGTTCGCTTTCTGGAATGGTGTCATATGCGTTCGGTTACTCGGGACTGGCAGTATTTAGTACGCAAAGCGATCAGAAGGGCCAGTACTACAAACCAGAGAATGGCGCCGGCAAACCCGCTGGCTAAGAATGTGACGGCAACCTTTTGGTGGGTTAGCGGGGGGCTTGTGATAACGAGGACGGTAACAACTCACACCAAAGGCAGCAACACTGCGGACAATGGGGGCGTTCTCGGAGGTGACAAAAGCATTGTAGACGCCGGTGATTGGGTTGTAAGAGCGGCGGGAGCCGCCGAGACGCTTGGGAGCCATTGTGATGAAGTGAGTTTGCGATCTTCGGTGATGGAATGCGGAAGACTTGATGCCCGGACCCGATCTTGGCGGCGATGCAAAGCCGAAATTTTGGGCGAGCAGGGATGTGGAATGCACGGGCCCATGGACGCACGAGCCACCACCGCTTGAATTGAATTGATCGGCCAGCACCGAGACCGGGCTGCCCAAAAGCCCAGAGTCTCAACCTGAGTTGCCGTTCCCTCCTCTCAAGGGAACAAGTTGGCCATCGGCTAGGGAGTCACAGATGAAAACAAATTTGTAACCACCAAACTAGCCGCAGCGCCTATTTCTTTTTTAGAACCACATTAGATATTACCTCAAGTCACTTGCGACTTCCATCGACTTCTTTCCGTCATTGCTTGCGGATCAGAACAATGCAAACAAACAACGGAACAATCACGTGTGTTGGTGACATCACCCCACCACGATAGGCTGTCTCGCTGCATCCTCCGGAATCACGCTACATCTCTCTGTAACGCACCTCATGGTGTTTTCATTTTTTTTTGTGCTGCTGACGCATCCCGCATCTCTTGTGCCGAGCGTAAAACTTCTTACTTCATGAGCTTAATCAGCCTGGAGGAATTAAATCCTGGGCGATTTGCTTCACAATTTCCAAACTTCCTCTGATCAAACCATCAAACATTATCCCAACTAGATTGGTTAATACAATATCCTCTTTTTGCATTGCCCGGTTTTAACAATGGCTGAGCATACGATACTCACGCCATCGCCTTCCCCTGCGCCCACTGCCGCCACGGCGTCCACAGCGGCGACATCACCGCCCCCCACAACAGGGGATTGGGACAGGCCAGATCGGCCTGACCTACCGCATCCACGCTCCCGTCCCCTCCGCCCAGGTTCGGCGAAGGAGAACATGGCGCGAGATTTGATCTCGAACACCATGGCCGACATCAGCCGTGGGTTCGTAAAAAGGGCCGGTAGATCCCCGGACAAGAATGACCCAGGTTACCAACTGGGAGATGATGAGGGGTATACATCAATAGACGGCCTGTGTCGAGATCTCGACCCGGTCATCCATCTCGTCTGGAGATCAGGGACTCGTGAGTACCGTAGTATCCGTAAAAATCACCGGCATCAGTGTTAACCAACAATTCTCAAATTAGCCAGCCTTCAAATACCCTCGCTCCTTAGCATCGCCACCGAGTTCAACACATGGATGATCGGCTTCCCCCCGTCGCCAGACCACATCTTCCCGCTCCTCCGCAAATTAGATCACTGCTTCGCCAGCCTGCTCGCGGGCGAAGACATCGTCACCCACGAGTCCCTACCGGGATTTGAAAACGGCTTGCGGGGGGGCATGAGCACGACCGACATGATTCGTTGCAGGAGCACGGCTTTGGATGCTAGGACAGTAATCATGGCTGTTCTAGGTCGAATGGAGCAACGGGAGGGGGGTGATGGTGAGGGGGAGAGCGGGGTCGATGATGACGATGACCAGGACCTGGAAGCTCACTACATGGACGCGGCGCGGGTGTATGAGTATACCCTGGTCAAACTGGGGGAGACACTCGGTGGATCAGGGGTCGCAGATGTACCCATGATGGCGGATTAGCGGGAGTCGGGGTGGTTGGGGCAGCTTGCTGGGGATAAGGGAAGACCACTCTCCTAGTACACCAGGTCAATTTCGGCCATATTTGGGGTTTTTAACCCAGGAATGATCAAGATTGTTGGCGACGATCGGAGTTTGGGAGTGAAATCCGATATGGCAACAGGGGCCGTCTCCTCGTCACAATATGTGGGAAAGCTTCCCTGTGCTCACAACATTGCAACCGTCACCGGAACACAGTGCGGCGGTGTTTCTGACTTCAAACCCCCTCAAACTAATCCCGCTCAGCTCAGGTGCCCGAGTGTAACGAATATCATGCCAACAGCGACGCAAGTTGTCGTCTACCGACAAAAGTCTCAATTATCAGGCAATTTCACCCGCTGCTTACAGCTAGGAAACGGGAGTACATGGTAGTATGTGGCCTTGAAAAATGGATAAAGTTGCCAGCCGACGGGCAGCTCATCCTCGCTGTGTGTGTTTCAACATGCAATACTTGCAGGCGTGGAACTTGCAGTACCGACATTCCCAGATGAACCAGAAGGGGCCGCCACGGCAGACGGGCAGGTCCATTCGATCAGCGTGTTGTCCGACTTGACCATGACGAATGAGTGCGCGCAGTGTCTGGGGATTGCCATCTTGACTAACGAGAAGTATCGTGTCAGCGCGCTAAGAACTTTTCAACCTTTGGGGACTGCTAGTTCCTCGCACCTGAGAAGCAATGGATGGAGAATCCAGATGTTGACAGGTCGGTGTCATGGAAGCTTGTTTGCTAGTACTACATAAGCCGAGGACAAGACCGGCCCATAGCGGTTGTAGTAATGGTGTTGGTAGAAATGATTACAGGGGAGGAGGCGTTCTTATACCTGCCGCGGGTTTTCTAGGCGACCAGGGGCGACCACCAGGGTGGGCCAGTCGATATGCAGGAGGGAGTGCCCTCCCACCAGCTTCACAGATGGTTTATCAAACACCGAACATGCGTCACCAAACTCCATGCAGCCTCTGACCAGCATGGCTGTACATCACTCGGCCTCTACGGCCATTGGATTCAATTCGGGATGCTACACTTCATTTTGGTCAGTGTGAGTGCGTCGAAAGGACTTCACAGGCATCACCAATAGCTAGTTGTGACGAACCTACTTCAGGACCCTGTCCTGTTAGGGTTCAGCTTCGGTTGAAGGTAATCTCGCAAGGGTGCTTAGGTTCGGTGCAGCCAAAGGGTGCACAACAAAGGCTTGTCTCAACAGTAGGCTCTCGAGCTTGCAGCAAACTGTAGTTGTGATTGCTAACTGGAGAACTCCCAGAGCTCTCCAGAACAAGTGACTATATACCTAGCTAATTCCTGGGTGCTCAGTGTGCTCCGTCTGCCCTTGGCAACTGAGCTTCCTGATCACTGTTGAGCCATTGTTACCCTAATTAGTAATCTTTAACTACATCAAACGCGCTGATTTATCTGCGGAGTTAACTGTCTCAGAAATCATGCAAATCGATCTGCCGATGTGGTGCCAGCCGAGGGACTGAGGGAGCGAGGGGCCTCGAAGAAAGCAAGGATAAAGATTGCAACCTCACGCTGCCAACCGCGCCCATTGGCACTTTACAAGCGATGACGATGTCTAGGGACGTCTTTCTCGAGTCGAGAATCTCGACACCAGCTGTCACATGAGGGCAACTGACGGGCAGCAAATGGGGCAAACGGCGATACTATAGGTCACAGTGGGAGGACATTTGGGATGGTCAAGGCTCCTCCAAAAGCACAATACGGATTACTGGATCACTGGCCAGGCTTTAGTGATGTATCCACTGGATTGGATGATCAAGACGAGCAGGCGAGATGCTTTTTATTTCTTCTTTTCTTCTCAGGAGTAGAGACTCCAGGGAACGTCCCACAAATACCTACTGTAAGGGCTGAAGTATTCTATTTGTGAGCCTTTGAGGTGTTAATGGCTAGGTATTATGAGTTTCTTGACGAAAATGAATGTTGGAACAATAGTGTCGTTCTTCAATCCCAGTTTTGGGAACAACAGCAACGCAGCTCCCTAAAGGAGCGTCATTACACGACGCCATGCGACCGGCATGCCTTCTTTCTGTTCTCAGTGCGTCAACCATGTGTAAGGTACTTCCTCCAGTTTGACCCCCTCAGGGACAGTGGCACATCAACCAACAAAATGGGCCAGAACAGCATGAGCTAAAGTAGCGGGGACGTTGCGGGCAAGAAATCCCCAACAGTTGAATGTCAATTTGGGAGTCTGCGGCGTAATTGTGGGGGCCCTTTTAGTTGGCAACGTTGAAGGGAAAAGAAAATGGGTACTTTTATGGCCGCCAAAACCACACCGCAGGAGTGCGGTTAGAGGTCTTCCTACAAGATTTTCTCAAGGGCGAGACTGACCGTCGGAACCTATTGGGAAGAAACCAGGCGTTCAAGTTCACAACGTCCATACTTGTTTAAGAGCGTTGATTCTAATTATGGCTCGACATTACCCTCTTGCGTTCATTTCAACCGATTATGGGTGGCATTTGATGAATACGGCGATTTGTATTGCCGTTCTGTTTCCAGCCACCATGCGCCGCATACCTACCTCCAGGTATGTAGGTATGGAAACCCAAAAGCTAGCACTATTTTCATCTCGCCCATCCCCGACATATCACCACCACACTGAAGCTCCAAGCCATTGGTCCCTCCACATCAATAACTACCCCGCTGGGGACATGCTTGGTGGGTTATGGCGGGTCCCTACCACTTGCAAGACCTTTCGGCCGGGTCGGTGGGCGTTGCGGGCATAGCTGTTACCTTCATCATACCTACCGACACCCGCTACACCGCCTTGATAGTCTTGACGCCGTGAACTGGGCTAACGGCCAAGAACAACCCTCACTCAAGCGAGGCAAGAGAACGGGGTCCAAGCAGCCAAGAACCGGATACTTATGTATATGTGCTTGTATATCAATCACTCGAGCATGGGTTCCTCTTTGGCGCCGCAAACAAATATGAAAAGGTA